CCTTCCGTGCTGCCGCCTCCTCCTCCGCCAACGCCTTCTTCGCCAACTCCGCTGCCTCTTGCGCTGCCGCTTTCGGTGCGGCCTTCCGTGCTGTGGCCTCCCGCGAAAACGCCTCTAGCGCTGCCTTCTGCTCCTCTAGCGCTGCCGCCTTCCGTGCTGCCGCCTTCCGTGCTGCCGCGTCCTTCTCCGCCAACGCCTTCTTCGCCAACTCCGCTTGCTCACGGCGCTTGTAGAATAACAACAGCAAAGACCAGGGCAAATGAATACGGAAAGTTAGTAACCACATGTTATCCAATTTCGTTCTTCAGAAGCGGGAGAGATGATTGGTATCAATCAATACACCCACCTGCATTTCCTCTGCATCGGCGCGAGGGAGGAGGTAGACGAAGTGCTGGCAATCCGGAAAGTCGTGCCTGTACCCCGGCCTGGGCTGGCCGTTCTTATCCGGTGACATGGGCACCCTGTGCGCCCGCTCGTACTCCTGTATGTTTTTCACCGGCTTGCCTCCTGACCGCGACATTGCCAAGTACACGGTCGGCGTGGCCGACCGGGCCCGGCGAGATGCGATAGTTGGCGTAAACAGGTGGTGGCACCACGAATTGTGCGCCAACCTGTTCACGGACAAAACTGCGGCATACACATCGACGTAACAGCAGGTGTGGTCGGAATCATCGGCGCAAACGAGAATGCTTCCACATTGAGTTGTTTCATCCTCTATGTTACATTCCCCACGTAACATATAACACAGACGCCTGCAACGGACCCACCTGGGTGGAACACTCTGAGGTTGAGCTGTAGGGTCTCCGCGACGAGAGGGTAGCAGAACTGCTGCGTATACATTAGCTCTCCTGCCGACTCCAGGACCCCAAAGAGGTACATCACGCGGGCGGTCTCGATAGGGAGGAGGCCATCAGCGGGGACATCCAGGTCGATGGCCAACGCCCTGTTCATCACCAGCATGTCGTACGGTTGTAGACTGCGGTAGAACCACCCCCATCCGTCCATGCTCAACATGGCCTCCATGTTCGCTAGAGCGGTTTTGAGGCAAGCGAGGCGGATGGGAAGGGCGTAGGCAAGGACGCCCCGCCTTGCCTTGCACTTCATCCCAAAGGCGGCGTTTGCTATCCCATGAAAGAAACAGGCACCGTCGCCCGTTGTCTGTTGGGGTACAAAACCTCTGCCCGAACCGTCTTCGAACTTGCCCCCAGTTATCATCCCGGCGGCGAACCGGTCAACATTTTCCTCCCTACTACCAACAAAGGGTAGCTTGCCGCCCTGCATCAATATTCACGATTACACACGGCGTAATTTCGTCGTTTGATCTAGGCGGGGGACAACAAAATGACTACTGCGTCAATGCTACGTGTTGCTTCCCGTCCGATCATCCAAAAGGTGCTTCTGCAACAACCAGGCGCAACATCGAAAAACGGCGTACCGGTGGTATAGGCGACGGGTCCTGCCCGTCCAGCGGGTCCTTTAGTTTAGCGGCGAACGCGACGATCTTCGCACAATCTTCCTGCTGCAGTCCTTTCTTCTTCAAAGCTTCACCTCCCTTCTTTTCGAGAAGAGCCTGCACCTTTGCGTCGATTTCATGAAGGTTCTGGCGCAGAGTTGTCGTGGGCCGCATCGTCCTGCGCGTTTCCGCGACGAGAGAACCCGGACAAGAATACTTAGCCCATACTTCCTATATCTACTATTTGGAGTAGCATACCTAGCCGCACGTCGCGGTGGGTGGTCCCGCACCACGACACATGAAAAACATGTGTCCAACATGTACATGTATGTAGACTATACGAACCGACCTCACTCTACCCGGGATGTCGGACGGATATCAATCTTAGACTTCTTGTCTCGCAAGCACGCTGCTTTCTTGTAGGGCTTGTACGGCGTTATTCGCACAGCCCGTCTACCTACTTGTAATACAGCAGCAGTAGGCTACCCACAGCAGCAGCAGTTCAAAAAGGGCGGGAAGAGCAGCAGCAGTTCAAAAAGTGCGCAGACATCGAAGACTACTTGGGGAGCGATTTCTGCACCGTTTGCCCCTCTTTTTGCGCGCAAACACAGCCATACTCACGTTCAGAGGTCTCAAAGTGGTGTGGAGGGGACGAGAGCTATCCAGGAGGGCTGTGGGGCGAGCGCTTGCCACAAAATGCAGCGGCTGTCTTGTCCCAGGGGTCGCGTTTAATATACGAGACCCTAGGGTCGCGTTTTATATACGGGACCCCAGGGTCGCGTTTAATGTACGAGACCCTAGGGTCGCGTTTTATATACGGGACCCTAGGGTCTCGTATACCGGCTCCCGATGCCCCCCCGACCAGACCACGACCGATGAAATTCATGGATTGTGCGGAGCCCCGCGTTTCCTTGTGCATCACAACGCATGACATAGACAACAACCAGCTGCGCAGCGAGAGCAACGAGGGAAGAGCATCTTCGGCAACAGAAGATTGAGTGGAAGGAAGGGATTGAACACCTAATCACTGCCAAGAAAGTGGAAAATTCCACGTTTTCGAGGAGCCAGTCCTGCAGCAGGAGAGCCATCGAATCTGCAGCAGGTCAGCGCGCATCATGTCTCAGATGATATCTCAAGCTGGGGAAGAGGGCGGGGGGGAGCAAAAGGCCGTCCAGAGCAACATCAAGAAGGACGAGAGGTTCGACGTGCGCTGGGAGGGCATGCCCTTTAAGCACCGCAAGATTGGCCGCGGGCCCAAGGCCACCTCTGAGAAGGTCTGCATCATGCCACTGTGGCTCCGCAACCTGTGGCCGACGTCGGAGTTCGACCCCTGCGCCGTCTGGGAGCAAGCGAAGGAGGAGGAGGCGGAGGAGGAAGTCGTCAGGGAGAAGGCTGCCGCTGCTTCCGCAGCGGCTAGCAAGGGCTCCAAGGGGGGTGGATCGAAAGCTAAGAAGGGAGGTGGCGGCGGGGGCAAGCTTAGCAAGAAGGAGACCATCCAGGCTGAGCAGGCGAAGAAACGTGCCGAGGTATGCGTTTTCTGCTGTACATGGCTACATCATGCAATGATGTGTACCACAACATGCTGCAGGTCAATTAGCTGTCCTACCGACCTGTGCTCTAGAAGGCAGCGTGCGTGAGAGAACGTACATCGGGTGCCTCCTGCTGTTGCAAGAGCGGCACCTGCTTGAGTCAACCCACGGGCCCGGTTCTTAGACCAGTCCGGGACCCCCCCCCCCCATCCCCGCCCAAGTGTTACTTCCCGCACCATGTTGTTGCACAGAATGTGTTGCAACAGGTGTGCTAGCCGACTGCACCACATATGAAGAGGATGGTTTTCCAAAGGCATCGCTCCTTCGGGTGTCGTTGCAGAAGGCTGTGCTTAAGTCTCTGCCTCTTTGTGTGTCGTCACTCCTTAAGGATGCCGGCGGTTGTTGCCACCGTTGTCGCCTGACCGCTGCCGCTGCCGCTCCTACATCACTTCATCGAGCAGGAGACGATCGAGAGGGACCTGGAAAAGCTGGGAAACGTGCTCAAGATGCGCGAGCGCAGCATGCTCTACAGCATGAAGCTCGAGACGAAGCTCGGCCGGCTGAACCAAATGCTGGAGGTGAGTCGTACACCCTAGCAGCGGGCGGTTGGCATCAATCCGGGGGACGGGGAGGTAACAAAGTCAGAGGGATCTTCAAGACGATGTCACCCAGGCATAACAACATAACCAGAGGAAGACTGGAAGGTTTTACTCATATTTTCCATGTGTTTTTCAGGCGTTGGATGTATCTTTCGCGCTACCCCGTAAAACTCAGCGGTATGACGCGTCGCCCGATCGTCTCAACACCTCGGTCAGATCTTGGCGGACTCCCTCAAGGCCAACGACCCCAAGACAGCGTTCGACGTGCTGTGGGAGATCGAGTCCTTCCCCCTCTTCCTGCAGGCGGTGGCGGAGGAGGTTGCCCGCGACGCGGACGCGGGGGGGGCGGGTGACGAGAAGGACAAGAAGAAGGGCAGCAAGGACAAGAAGAAGAGCAAGGTGTGCGTGTTACTGAGAGGGCAGGGGAGCTGGCGGGGGTGGGGCGTACATACCGTACAGGAGTACGACACAAGATAACACACACCCTAGACTGATTGTCAAAGGTCGAATTATTGACAGCAGGAAGAGCCACAGCGCCGACAGTGGCGGGGTTGAAGCCGTCTGGTCGAGAGCTCTTCGAAAACGAGTGTATCGTTTCGCTTACGCATCCTCTTCGTCTTGGAGTAATCGAGCCGTGAAAATCGATCCACGGAGTGTGTTATCTTGTGTCGTATACGGCACGTTTGGTTTTGTTGGAGAAGGGCAACAATGCAAAGTTGAAACAGATGTGTGCAATCGACAAGGAAGGAGGTGAAAGTGATAACGACGACCTGTAAATGGTGAAAATGTCTGGGCAGTCCTGCGTTGTCACGTAAGGAAGAAGGGGCGCAAGGATGAAGGATGTCTTGTCACTTGTGGTGACAACGGGCAAGAAGAGGCAAATCGCGTACAAGCAACTATAGCAACACAATTCGACCGGCGAATGCTGTGCGGGGAGGGGGGCGAACTGCGCCCTTGCACCCGCATTTTTTTTCGGCCAGCGGGGTGTATGCATCCAACGTCAAAATGTGATGAGCCGCTGGGTCCGTTTCGCAGAGGCAAACAATAGGTAAGTAGAGGTCAAGCACCAGGGGCTATACACCTAGTCTACTTCCGTTGTGCTTGTTCAAGGGGGGACGGGGAGACGCGCTCGAAGATGGAGCCGTCAGTGATGTTGCCCTTCCGCGTGGTGCTGCGGTGCTTGTGTTTTTCGACGGGCGAAGGACAAGGACGAGAAAAAGAGCAAGAAGTCTGCCCCCCGCAGCGCGCCCACCCAGCTGGTGTACGAGTTCAAGAAGACCCTCAAGGCGGCCCGCAAGCTAAGGGACAGCCAGGACATGACCGAGTACCAGCTCGTCGAGATGCACGACCGGTGTGTTAAAAATTATTGGTTGGTGGCGACCTTTACAAGGCGGGGCGGGGCGCCACACATGACACCAGCGGCGGAAGTTGATGACGTAACACAGAGTTTTAGGGTGGTATGGTGGACACGGGAGGTGGGCCGTAGGGCGCCACACGTTGCACTGGCAGAGGAAGTTGATGGTGGTACAGTGGTATTGTACGGGTAGATGGCGGTGGCATCAGAAGTGGTAGTCGCGGAAAAGTGCACCAGAATGTATATGTTCCATGTCTCGGCAGTTACGGCCCTACCCTAGTCTACTCACCTTGTTTTTTTCTCGTTCTTTGGGAGAAAACACTGATCAGTTGTTGGATGCGGGTCATGGGTGAGACCGAACACTCACTGCCGTCTATACGGCTCTTGTAGCTCACTTGCTTGGACGCTCTCTGTCGCCCCTCCTCTCTGGCTCTCGCCCCCCCCCCCCTTCTCTTTGTCTGTTCTCTATCTCTCTCTCTCTCCACTCTTGACCTCTTATCTCTGCCTCTCTCTCGCTCTCTCTCTCTTCATCCCTTCGTCGGTGTTTCGACTGGCCCCAGGCTGCCCCCTCTCTCCCGATTCACAACCGGGTGGAAGCTGGATGAGTGGCAGAAGCGCGTGCTGAGGCAGGTTGACAAGAAGAACTCGGCCATCGTGTGCGCGCCGACGTCCTCCGGAAAGACCATCATCTCCACGTGCGTGCCGAAAAGCACCCACAAGACAACGACGTGGCTTCCTTTTCTTTTTCAATGCACATGAGCTTCTTTTTCTCTTTCAATATACATGAGCGCTGACGTGAAGTGAAGACGAAAAAAATTAAAATGCAATGAAAGAAACACGACCACAATGAAAGACACACGACTCATTCGAGATGTAACCACAGTCGAAGGGGATGAGTTGGGAGTCTTTACAGTGAGTGGAGAGAATACACAGCTGCATACTGGGCTTACCCTCACGTTGTGAAATACTATACTTGGGAGTAGTATTCCCTTTGCCCCGGTTGTAGTCCGTGTAGATGCGGAGTCTTTCAAGATTCATTCTTCGACGGTTTCGTTTGTCGGTCCTCGCCGTCACCCAGCACCCCTTGTGCCAACGATTTTTTTCCGTCTCATGCTGTTGTGTCGTGGTATGATTTGTTGCTTGTTTTTTTACCAGTGTGTTTTTGGTTGAGCCCCGCTGTCAGAGTAAGATTGACGTTTCTCATTTGCGTGCACACTTCCACGTGACCGCGGGGTATGTTCTGGTTCCATCCCGTGATAGTCGAAATGTCCCATGCTAGCGTGGTGACTTTTCCATGTTCCTTGAAAGAGCGCACCAAGTTAACCGCATTGGCTTGCGTTACGGGGGATGTCCAATCCGCCGTCCCCCTCGCAAAAGACCACTCTTACACTCTGTATCCGCCGTTCTTGACGCCCCCTCTTGTGTACGTAGAACTCATACTAGCTTAATTTAACGTATAGATATCACCCGAGTGTTCCACGAACGTGCGCTTGTTTTGCCCTCCGCCCAACATGTTGCAGGTATGTGACTGTGGCGGCGGGGGCGTCGGGAAAGATCTTGTTCGTGGTGCCCACCGAGCCCCTCGTGTGGCAGGTGGCGGCCCTTTTCAACAAGCTTCTCCGAGGGCAGGTAGGAGTTTTTCTGGTAGCCGCTGAAACCTGCGGTTTTTTTCGCCGATGAGTTGCTGGGTTTTGGCTCGGGCAGATAAGAGAGGGAATCAAATGAAACTGCTGCTGAAGCTGCGAACTCATTTGCCGATGAGTTGCTGGATTTTCGCGTGGGCAGATCAGAGGGGGTCACATGAAACTGCTGCTGAAGCTGCGAACTCTTTTGCCGATGAGTTGCTGGATTTTCGCGTGGAGGGATGACAGGGAATCAAGTGAAACTGCTGCTGAAGCTGCGAGGTTTTGCCGACGAGTCGCTGGCTGCTCGCGTGTGGTACTGCCGCTCTTGCTTCGCGCACCTCACTCCCCCGCCACACGGCCGAAACCGTATAAACTGATGATTTGCCCATTGAAGCACAACTGAGTCAAAGAGCCGTTGTAAGGCATGACAGGAATCGAAAACGCGCCCAATTGTTTGGGAGGCGCGCGCCTCTGTCAGGAACAGGAGCTGCTCTCCTTGGTCCAAAGGGTTGCGAAAGAGCGACCTGAATCGACCAGGAAGTGCGTCACGGCCCCCATCATATTTTTCCGAACAGGTGGCGATCTGCATGGACCAGATCTACTACCGACCGGATATCGAGCTTCGGACTATCGTGGGCACCCCCATGGCGCTCGAGACGGCTTTGACGAAGCTCAGGGGGGCCGTGGGGGATGAGGTGGTGGGGAAGTTGGACTACACGCAGATGAAGGGGGGCTTCGACTTTGATTACGCCGTATACGACGAGGTGAGAGAGACATTTTCCCTGACCATAACCTGAACCCTACGTAAGTAGAGGGGAATTAGATTTTGTGTGTGTACATGAGAGGTGAGATGTAGGTGTCTTGTGTGTGCATGAGTAGAGAGGAGATAGGTATCAGTTACGGTGAAATAGATGTGTGTGTGTGTGGACCTCAGCAGAGGCGAAAAACATTTGTCTCCGTGTCTACATGAGTAGAAGAGGTCCTTGTTGCATGGCGGGTGGTATGAATTGTGGGAGTTCGGAGGAAGCGGCGGATGGAAGTTGGCTGGCATTCTGTGCCTCTTCCAGCCACCCAACCTCATCGCGATATTGAGCACATCATTACCGCATTGCATAGAGCCGGCAGCGCAAACAACAACAGAGTATGTCCAGCCACTGGAAGTCAAGAGAGTTGAGCCCATCTACTTCCTTTCGAAAAAGTGGCACGAGCATGGTGTGATGCCCGCACAGGCCAGAAATCGGATTTTTCCAGGTTGCCCTCAAAGGGAGAGTGTTAGAGTGCAAGCGGCACTGTTGGCCGGTGGTGCGACGTCTCACTTTCAAGCCCTGGTCTTGTTCCTTCTCGTCCTACGTTGCTGCTGCATTACGTCTCCCATGCTTTTGGTGTCACCTTTCTTTGTTTTGTCTTTGGCCACAGGTGCACTCGTTGGACAGCGAGGAGGGCGACGCTCTTCAGCGACTTATCCGCGCGGTGAACTGCAACTTCCTCGCCCTCTCCGCCACCATCGGAAACGCTCAGCAGGTACATACAGTCCAGCAGTACAGTACATACGTGCAAACGTGTACGGTAGCAGTCCGGCAGCGACCGGTTTTATTCGAGAGAGGTTCGGGACAAGAGTGAGGTTCGCTTCTTTTTTTTGTTCGAAAATCGCAATCAAATATGTACAAGTTCTATTACTGCGGGTAGTCTTTCTGTTATTATTGTAGTTTTTCTCGAAACAAATCAATCTTTGTTGTCTACCTCTGGCGCTGTTTTATCCCCTAACCTAACACATGCCTGTTTTCTTGGCCCTGATCGTGTACCGTACCGGCCTTGCTTGGCACAGCTCAAGGACTGGTGGACTGAGGTCCAGGGGGAGCAGGCCAGAGACCTAGAGGTGATCGAAGCGCCGGCGGGGGCGGGGGAGGGTCGAAGGGGTTTCGTGCCTCCCTCGGGGGAGGTGTACCTGGAGGAGCACAGCGGCAGGTGACAAGCGACTAGATGACGATTCTGCGTCGCCCCCAGCGCTAAAAAAAACTTCTCTACGCAAGTACTTTTACATTCCACGTCTATGGTGTATTTCGAGCGACCCTGTTTTTTTTTTTTCACTTGTAGCAATAAATCTCATCAACAGAGAAGAGGTTAGCAGAATCTACCCGTATTTTTTTTATCGGTGCTGCTGCTGTAACAACATCGCCAGACACGCTGGGGGCGTTGGTGGGTTGTTCAGGAGCAATTGTCTGTGCGGCAGCGTGCCAAAATCGAAGACCTTGACAGATTGACAGTCTTTCCGGTCCTCTCTCTGCCATTTCAAGTAATTCATTGCACACCAGTGGGGGTCCCTGTTGAGTGCCGGTATGTGCCCAGCAAATTCACGGGCACTATACCGGACCGGCACTATTCAAAGTACTGACGATGACTTGGAAATTCAGTGTGTGCCCACCGAAAACACCAACACTATGCCGGGCATTTTGGAACGCATCGTGTATTATCCCCACCGTGCTTGATTCTCGTTGTGCTTTGATGCTTGTCCCAGGTTCATCAACCTTCAGCGGTACGTGTGGATGGGTTCGACGTTCGTCAACCTCCACCCTTGTTCGGCCATGTCGGTGGAGCTGCTGCAGAGCGGCAGGACGGAGGAGGTTTCCCTTTCCTTCACCCCTCACGACACCTACAAGCTCTGGTGAGGACACACAGAGAGAGAGAGAGAGAGAGTGAGAGGGTGAGAGAGACACGAACAGGAATGAGGGGTTGTATTGATGATCGGGATGTGTCCTGTTGCCGCTTGCCTGCCCTTGTGTTGTGCGTGCATCAGGGAGGCGTTTTTGGAGTTCTACCCGGAGGAAGCCGTAAAGGACCTAGAGCCAGCCGGCTTCTTCGCCAAGTACAAGACCAACCGCATCTCGCTGCAGCAGGCCAAGGACTACGAAGAGGTCCTCGTGAAGAGGTGAGAAAAACAGAAAAGTCTGTTGCGTTTTTTCTACGGTGCACGCCTCGGTGTTTGACATTTTGAGCCTTTGACTTTCTCGGGTTTTATGTGGTTTGGCTTTAGTGCGATGTGTGAGTTGGCGCTTACCACGCACAATGCATGGTAGTTTTTCTTCTTTTGATTTTCTCGCTCTTTTGGTGGCTTAACGTTTGGTGCAATGTGCAGGTTGACGCTTACCACATACGACAAGTTTTTATGCTGGTGCTGGTGAGATACTTCGTGTTCTAATGGTGCTCTTTTTGAGGACCCCTTTTTTTTGCCGAAAATTACATACAAATCACAGAGGGGCTACACTTCTGGTGAAGAAAACACTTTGTAGTGTACCCCACTCGAAGGGATGTGTTGAAGAGCCGTTTCAGCAGTGGGTTGTTGAAAATATCACAATTTTACGTGTCGATATATTGAAAATATCACAATTGTTACGTGTAAATTTTCCACATGCCGTGTTCGCCCCTTGGCCGCCCTCTCGTGCCCGCCGCTGCACTGTGTCCGCAGGCTAGAAAAGCTGTCAAATGACAATCCCAAGGAAACCAGCGATCTACTCCAGAGGTTCAACCCAGGAACGGTAAGTGGCTTATCAAACCTTCATCGAAAACGATCATCGAAGCAAATTCGGGCCTAGATGGTCCCACACACCACGCGTGGTGATAGCTGGTGTTCTGCAACACTGCGACGTCTATACCGGTGGTGCCCGTTGCCGTTGGTTGTACAGAGCACCACAACCGAGGGATAGAGCAAAGTGTCTCGCATCAATTTTTGGGGCACAACGGGGGGGGGGGGGGGGGGGGGGGGGGGGGGGGGGGGGGGGGGGGGGGGGGGGGGGGGGGGGGGGGGCATGCTGCCGACCCGCGGGGTCTCGATCGACAAGACGTCGGTGGTGGCGAAGAGCACACGTGGGCTGTCGTGCCTTGAAGCGCGCAAACCTTGTTCACCTTCCCCTTGTATGCGTGTTTCGCTTTTTTTTTTTTTTCAAACACAACAAGTATTCATCTCTGCCTTTTTTCGGATATGAAACCGGGATAAATGAGTAATGAAATGATAGCGTTCGCGGACACACTATGTGATATGCCGTCGACTGTCGCCGTTAAGGAACGCGGCAACGCTTCGCGAAGTGGGCGTCATCTGTATGGCTGTGTTTCCACGATTCCCTGAGCAGCAAACATCGACCCCCCCGTCCCCGTTTTTCGTATTTTCTCGTCGGTTGATCGCCGCTATGTAATAGGTGGGTCCGGACGTGTCCATCTATGACGCGGTGATCGACATGAAGGACAAGGGGCTGTGTCCGGTGATCGCCTTCCACCTGGACACCTTTATGGCCCTCAGCCTCTTCAAGGAGCTCCTCAAGGTGAACTACAATAGATAAGACTATCCTTCACGCCTACAAAAAATAGCGAGCCGTTTTTTTTTGGAAGTAAACAAACCTCACAGAAGGGCTACCCGTTCGAGATATAACCTCAGTCGAAAGGGATGCGTTGAAGTTTTTTCAGTAAGTGGGTTGAAACCGACTGGAAGCTGGGCTTATTGTGAGTTTTTTTCTCCCACTGCCGGCGAAGACTTGCAACACATCCCGTTCGACTGCTGTGGTTTTATCTCGAACGAGTAGTATTTCTGTGATTTGATTAGAGTATATGCATCCAAACACAGAGAGGCGCTACATTTCCCGTTTGAGATTAAACCACAGCAGTAGTCGAATGGCTGTCTTGAAGTCTTGACAGCAGTGAATAAGAACACCTTAGTGGATGTAAATTCTCTTGAAAATTTAAAGCCCTCTGGGCTCTTTTTTTTTTCTTCGTAGCTGGCCGAGGCGGCGGTTTTGTAAACGTTGTTCGCTCGTACAGGCAATGCAGACCTGGTCTAGCGTTATTCCTCTCGCCGCGACCGTTGCAGCCGGTTTCCAGGACGTGCTCGACGCCAACATTTCGTCGGGGCAGCGCGTGTCTTTGTCACATGGCACATGGACAGCAGTTACAGTAACAAGCGCCGGGGCAGCTCGTGTTTTGTCACATGGCACATGGACAGCAGTTACACGCAACAATGCCGTTTTACGTTTTCTGCCTTCCCCTGATGTTTGGGTTGGGTTTTCGTCGCTTGGCAACGACGTTGTAAAACAAGCCAATTCACTTCGTGAACTCGGCAAGCAGGTTATCGGGTTTTTTTTTCCTCGTTTTTTTTTTTTTTTGCGGTAACCATAATGGTAGTCGAGTAGATCATGTTGTGCGGGTTCGAGAACCCTCACTTCGCGCAAGGGGGATGATCGCACCACGTTGTGTTCAAAGGGTCAAGCACCCTCGAGGCAGTTACACAGTGCTTACAACTGTCTCTGGAAGTGAAAGCACCAGAAAATAAATTAATTCATACGCAGCTGTCATCCGTACGCAAGGAAGTAAGCACAAGATGCCGAAAACCCTTAGCAGGATGCAGCGCACCCTTCATGCGACTCGCCGAATATCTCACGGCGCTTCGCGCTTGGTGATGTGAGAGCCTGGTCCGGTGAGAACCCGGCGTGCTCCGTCCCGGCTTTGTAGGGATGCGAGGTCAATGGTCTAACGACTACGGCATGCACGACTATGAGTACACCCCCGCCTCCCCCACCACCACCCCTGGCTCTGTGTTTCTCTCTCTCTCGAGGACGTGTGGTCAATGGTCTAATAGCTACATAACGCATTACAAGACGGGAGGTCCCCCCTCCCCCCCCGTTGGCCTCACGAATTTGCTCGATCAACCCGGCGGGAGGACTTGGCGCCTGCGCACTGCCGGCGCTGATTTCGTTTCCCCTCAGTGGTCAGCGGCAATGCTGCTGTATGCACAACATAGACCAGCCTGCCGCGTGGATTGTTGATGAGGTTACAGTAGAGGTCAGTAGAGGTCCCCGTTTCGTGCCGGGGTGTGCGCCGAAATGGCACTACACCGGACACCGGCGCTATTCAAAGTACAGAACGACTTGGTATTCCAGTGTGTGCGAGCCGAAAATACTACACCGGCACTGTACCGACTACCGGTTCTATTCAACCGGCACTAAACCTGGGCCTCTACTGTATGGCTTTCTGGCCGTTTGCGAAAAAAAAAATATATCAGGACATGGAGGTCCAGCAGCGCAACAAGTACCCCAACTGGGCGGAGGAACAGAGAAAGAAGGCGGCGGAACTTGCTCGAGTCCGAGCCATCAGGGAGAAGAAGATGGACCGCAACAAAAAGGAGGTGAGAGAAGCGCGCACGTCCGAAGCGGCGTTCGGTGTCGCGCTCTCAAGAAAGCGGTTGGTCGGTAGCGGTGTAAGGAGAAAGTGCTGACCTATACCGTAAATGACACAAGATAAAACACCCCCTGGACCGATTTTCAAATCTCAATTTCTCAACAGCAGAAAGAGTCACGGCGCCGCAGACGGCGGCGTTGGAACCGTCTCGTAGAGAGCTTTCCAAAAATATATCGTTTCGTTTATGTATTCTCTTCGTCGTGGAGTAATCGAGCATTGAAAATCGGTCCAGGGGGTGTGTTATCTTGTGTCATATATGGGACATGAATATTGGCGGTCCTTGTCGGTGCAAGAAGTTGGACGTATGCATCAATTTCTGTTTTCGTTGGTTTATCGCTTTGAGTCAGCGCCTACCGTGTGTGTGCAGGGTAAGAGTTCCAAACACAGTAAGCGCTCCAATCTGCAGTCATTTGTGTGACGTAGTTGCGGGCCTGGTAGAGGTTGTGCCACGCAGGTTGGGCTAGGAGGGCAGTACTGTAATAATGGATGAGAACCTACATTTGCGTGTGTAGGGCACGATCATAGTTCTCCCCAAGAGACCAAGCGCGTTGTTTATGCATGGTTGTACTAATTTGCGGCGGAAAAAATAAAAAATAATCGAACAAGCGGAGGAAGAGAAGAAGGAGGGGGACGATGAGACTGGCGGTTTCGTCGACGTTACCTTAATTTTTTTGTACTAATTTGCGGCGGAAAAAACAAAAAAGAATTGGACAGGCGGAGGAAGAAGAGAAAGAGGGGGACGATGAGACTGGCGGTTTCGTCGACGTTACCTTAATTTGTTTGTTTTTGTACTAATATGCGGCGGAAAAAACACAAAAAAATCGGACAGGCGGAGGAAGAAGAGAAGGAGGGGGACGACGAGACCAGCGGTTTCGTCGATGTCACCGCGCCGCACCCCGAGTTCGTGCTCTCGCCGCCGAACGCCCGCGTGTCTTCGAGGGAGTTCGAGGACATCTGCGAGGACCTGGCTCCTCCGAACGGGAAGGGGGAGCTCAAGAACTCTCAGCACCCTTTCCTTCGGGCGCTCCGTCGAGGTGTGTGGTGGTTGTGATGGTGGTGGTCTGGGTCGTGCGCGTCAAGGGTTACGGTGACGTGCGTTTCGGGGGTTGTACGTGTTGCGTTGTTGCTGTCGTGGAACCTCGGTCTAGCCTGGCGTTTCGGGGGTTGTTTGTCCGTGTCGCCCCGCAATGCTTCCCACACGACGTGCGTCGACGTCGTCGTTTATGTTGATGGCCGTCGTTGTCACGCTTGCGGATGGCCTAAGGATGAAAATTCTGGAAAGCCTGCTGGCGCCAAGAGGCTCGCAGAATATCAACCGTGCGCGCGCAAAAGCCCTTCGGAACGCGAGGGCTTCCTCAGAGGAACTTGATCGTATGATAGTCTTTTTGCATGGAGCTTGTTTTCCCCGCGTCATTGCCGGTTGTTGGTTTCCGCTGATGGGCAATATTTGTTCACGCGACCAAAATTCTACTATCGCCGTGGGTGATTCAGGCAGACGCGTGCGGATAGTCTTCTGAAAATTCTGCCATCTATCGCCGTGGGTGATTCAGGCAGGCACCTTACTCCTGCTATGTTCGTGTGCTTATTGTGTAGGCGTAGCGAAGATGATTCGTCCTTGCTAGTGTTTCCACCCCCAGACGCTCCCAACTGAATTCCCTCCGTGTTGTTGCTGGAGCCAGACTCAAAGCGTGGCCAATGACATTAATTTTTTCTTCTCCAGCTGTTCCATCGAATTATTTAAATTTGTTTCATTTATTTCGTTTTTTTTCCTCGGCATCCTGTTTTTTTTTTTTTTGTAGGTTTCGGCATCTACATCGACGACGCGTCCTTCTCGCGGTACCGCCGGGTGGTGCAGCGGTTGGCCCAGCAGGGAAAGCTCTCCGTCGTCTTCAGTGACGAGTCGCTCGTGAGTACGATATTGACATCCCCTGGCCAATCGACCAACCTTCAGTTTTGTGCGTATGTTTGCACGGCGTGCCCGCTTTCAACGCCGTCTGAGCGGCACCCTCTTTCTGGACACCATTAATTTTTGAGGAGCGTGGCGCCCCGCAGAATGTACAGGCAATACCGTAGGTTGCATGAGCTACCACCCGCCCCCCCTTGGATGAACTATCAAAGCTTGATTTCTCCACAATGAGGAGAATGCCAACATCAAATCATACATTCTCAGAACGCTCCCGATGTGAAGGTCCCAGGACCCCACCATTTCCAGCACCGTCAGCCTGTGTGCTGCAGAGGAATCGGACTTTTAATCTAGGACCAGGGGGGTGTGATATCTTCTGCAACCTACGGCAGTACGAGGTTGCTTCGTTTCCTCGCTTTCACGACACCCTGTTTTCAGGAGCTTGGTGCCCCGCAGAATGAACCAACAAACGGGGGTTGTACATTTTTTCGCACATTTTCGCGCTTCAAGGACACTTTTTTTGAAGACTTTGAAGACTTACCAGGAGTGTCGTCGATAGTGGGCACGACTATCCACCGCTGTACGTGTTTGTTTCGCCGTCATGACGGTTGTATGGGCCATCATGTGTGTGGTACATCGCTCTGTTCTTGCTGCGGGTAGTCTTTGCCTTTTGCTGGTCCCCTTCGCCCGTACTTGCCTGTGACCGCGAGAGGGGTCCCGTGCTTGTTGTTGTTTCAATGTAGGGTACGCTGCTGCTGCTGCTGCGGGGCCCCCTTGCTGGTTGGTTGTGGAAGCAACTCTCGCGGTCGGTAGTATGTTGTTCAGAAGCCGAAATCAAACGAATGGACTCAGTCAGCGCGAACCCTTCAACTAACTGTTGTAGAAGCCGAAATCAAACCACTGACTACACTAATGCTTTGATTTCGATTTCTCTAGCTGCCGCTGCTAGCATGGACCATCGTCGGCTCCTCAACCATCATGCGGTTTGATCATGACTTGTTTTATGTGCAGGCCGTGCTGCGGCGTGGCTGACTGCCTGTCCCGGTGTTGTGTCTTTTTTTTGTTTTTGTTCAGGCGTACGGCGTGAACATGCCCTTCCGGTCGTGCTGCTTCTGCGGCAGCATGGACGGGCTTCTCAACCCTCTGGTGAGCACTTTTTTTTCTGTGTGGTCGACAAGTTTTGTTTCTCGTTTTATTTTTGTGCGTAGGACAACAACGTAACACACAAGGCGGACACAAAAAACAAACGCTCCTGTGTGGCCTTCCCGCCTTTGTGACCCTGGCTGGTGCGTCCAGAAATTGCACCCAAAGCACAAGGTGGAAAAAGACCGGCGTCGTATTTTATGCCAAAAACGAAAGGAGTTATCTAAATTTCTTCGCTTTTGGGGGAGGATACGAATGCTGAGGTAAGGGCTGAGATGAACCGTGCAAGGTGGGACAAGATTCCGGCGCCTTTTCTGGCGCTAAGCTTTTCGCCGTGTGACGGCCTCATGGTGTTCCGTAAAACGTCTGTTCCCGTGCTGATTGTTTCGTGGTAACCCGTGAACCGCCTCTTCCCTTGCGTGTTATTTCGTGGTACCGTAATCCGTGAAATGCCCCTTCCCTTGTGGGTTGTATCGCGGTAACCCGTGAAATGTCTCTTCCCTTGCGGGTTGCATCGTGGTAACCCGTGAATTTCCTCTTCCCTTGCCGGTTATTTCCGTGACCTCTTCTCCAACAGGTGGCGCAGCAGATGTCTGGAAGGGCGGGGCGCCGTGGACTCGACACGCAGGGAAACCTGCTGTACATGAACATGGCATGGCCGAAGATCCAGGGTCTCATGCTCGGAGACATCCCGGCCATCGTGGGACAGGACCCCCAATACCCTACAATCGCTCTCCATCACCCTCTCTCAGGTGAGGGCGGTGGTGGTGTACGGGGTCGTCCGTGGTGGTGTTGCTGCTGCTGATGCTGATGCTGCTGATGCTGATTCTTGCGCTGCGTGCTGATGCTTGCGCTGCTGCTGATGCTGCTGTTCATGCTTGCGCTGCTGCTGCTGCTGCTGCTGCCGCTGCTGCTGCTGCTGCTGCTGCTGCTGCTTGTGTTGCTGCTGCGGTTACCGGTGCAATCAGAGGCGATGGTGGTTATAAAAGTGGCATGCATAGCAGCGGCAAAGGCAATGATGATCTCACGCTGTCGTTTGGCGTTAACGGTGCGCTGTTCGCCGCTTCTTCTTTGTGCTGTTTTTTTTTTTTGTGGTGCAGCGGAAACCCCCGGAGGCATGAACTTCGTGGACGCCCAAATGGGGAGACGAATGGCCTCGAGAACTCTGCAAGAGTTCAACGAGAAGATCCAGGTGGGTGCTCCTGTTTTGCACGAAGCATGCCCCGCCGCCAACTGCCCGTGGGATTTCGTAACGTAAAAGTAGAACCTTAGACGACACTTCGCCGTAGATGCGTTGACCCTGCAAGAGTTCACCGAAAAGGTTCAGGCGGGTGTTACTATGTGGACCGCCTACGCGGGATTTGAAGAATTATCTCGAAAATAAAGGGAGGGCGCACGCAGACCCTATCCCTGTCCCTAACCGTAACCCCAAAGCACGGATTGAATACTCTATACCATATGTTTGCTGCGTAGACTACTGTACTTTTTTTTTGCGAAGCTTACCAAGCCGCCCTCTGCCCGTGGGATTTCGTAACGTAAACGTAGAACCTTAGACATGTCTTTCACCGTAGATGCGTTGCGTGAGATAACATCCAGGTGGGTGCTACCACCAAGCCACCCTCTTGGCCGTTGTAAGGATCTCGTAGCAGAGCCCTAGACAACGCTAGGTTGCGAAAGGTGCCATCCAGGTCACTACCGGAACCACCCGCTGCCCTTGGGTTTCGTAGAAGTAGTAGAACCCTAAACATGTCGTGGTAGAACCCTGGGCATCACTCTTTCGTGCCTCTGCTGAACGATTCAGTCCCGCTCCGCAACCCCCAGATGCCTTCGTTCCGTCGAACACTTTGATAAGCTCGTGAATATGGAGTTTGATCATGTGTCCCCCACGACTTTCCACCACACCGTCCGGGCCTGCCCTACTGCAATTATTCCCTGGTTCCCTCTTCTGGCACACCCCACACGAGATTGTATGAAGGCAGCGTGAGATTGTTGTTGGTTGCGAAAGGTATATGTACCACGCGAGGGCGGGCGTGGGCTGTTTTGACGAATTTTGACACGCGTTCTGGTCTACAGTGACGCCATCGTGGCGCAGGAAGGTGTGCTCCCCTAGCACCCCCATCTCTGCAGTTCGGGATGTGGTCGGGTGGGGTGTAAGTCCCCCACAAAACCGCAATATTCGTATATCATGCCCCCCCCCCTTTTCTAACTTGTTTTCCCGCTGCGGTAGAAATGATACGCCCCCATGTAGGCCAATCCCAAATCGCAAGAGATCCAAAACCCGCTTTCACGAGAGAGCCGCACTCGGCAACACCACCAGTCGTGCCCCCGTCCGCACGACTCTTGGTGTATTTTCTCATGTTTTCGACCTCCCCCTCCTATTGTTATTTCGTCTTGCGCAGCCCGACGAGCACTACATGGAAACCTCACAGGGCATCATGCGACAGCTGGGCTTCCTGGACGGTGACAACAACCTTAAGGCGCCTAGGTAGGGAATGGCTTGACCAGGGCGTACCGGGGGGGGGGCGGCAGGGGGAGTGTATGGATGCGCTAAATCGCCGACGACATGAAGGAGGGTAGACAATTCAACCGCTACACACAAGGGAACGAGGCAGAGCGTCCGCTCGCCCTCCCCCGTACGCAGCGAAAGATTTCGTGGCAACGCTTGTCTGTTTCTCTGCGGATTACAGAAGCCACCCCCACCACTTGAGAAGCTAGCTCTTGTTTCAGCCCACGAGCCCCGTTCATTTTTTTTCTCCGTGGGGTGTAACCTAGCTGTGACTTTTTATATTGGATTTAGGATGGGATTATTAGCTGAGCAACTGCATGGAAGGTTTAGTAAAGGATTATTTAGCTGAGCACCTGCATGGTAGGTTCAGTAAAGGATTTTTTAGCTGAGCACCTGCATGGTAAGTACTGAAGGGATCTTCACTGAGCACCTGTGTTGTAGGTTGTAGTTTACCATTCTTCACGGAGCACCTGTTCTTTTCCTGTAGACTTACCATGTGTTTTCTCTCGCTTTCCCACCACCCTCCCTGCCGCCCCCACGTCCCACGCGATAATGGTGTAACGTAGGATGCTCCTTGTGGCGGTGTGGGAGCTGCGCATGTTCCTTCCGGAGTCGCTCATGCTGGCCCACCTCATGGACACGTTCATGGCGCATGTCAGTGCCATTGCTGCTGCAGATGGTCGTTCTTTTTGTTAAACCCTCAATCCTAGTATGTCGGAGCCCCATCTTATACCGAAATAAGAGGGTGTACCCCAACTATGATTTTCCGGGTCGAGTCCGTGACGACCGATTTCGAACCTGTGCTATCGGAGCCTAACCCTGTCTTGTAAGGTACCCCTCTCATATCGGAGCCACTCTGCTGTGCTTGCTTGCTTGCTTGCTTGCTTGCTTGCTTGCTTGCTTGCTAGCTTGTTCGCTAGCTTGCCACTGGACGCTCGGCTCGCTTGGCTCCGAGGTCTGCACGATTGCTCGGAGGAGCGTCCAGTGAAAAGCACGCGCAATGAAGGAAGCCGTTATTTCCGTAGCCATTTCTGTGACCGGCCTCTGTCAATTGGTCTTGCCGCTGCTGTACAGGGGTTTTGATTTGGTGTTGGTGGTGATGTTGCCGTTGGCGGCGCTGTTGTGGTGGTAGCAGTTGCGCTTCGGAAGTCGCGTGATCGTCGAGTTTTTTGTTCACGCGCGTTGCTCTACCACTCAATCCTTGCTTGTTGGCCTCTACGGTAGTGATGGGAACACATGACAAGCTACTCTCTCCCTTGGATGAAATGTCCCCTCAGACAGACACGTTTTTTCTGACCACTACATCCCGCTACAGGTGTCCAACAATGCTTTTTTACATATAAGAGATACAATCAAAGAAATACCTACCCGTTCTAGGTAGTAGTACCACATTCGGAGGGATGTGTTGAAGTCTTTCGGAAGAACGACAGCTAGATACGGGACTGTTTCCGAGGCATTTTCATCTTTTCTTTTTCGGTAGAGGCGCCGAGTGCGAACCAGGGTGATATGTTTTTGCCTGTAGTTGCGCCGAGCGAAAGTGACCAACCACATCCCGCTCGTTTGACAACGCCCCGGCTTGTGCCTGGAGTGCTGCATGGAACAGATGCAGAAGCGACCACCGCAGCCGAACTGTTCGGCTGCGATGGCCGCTTCAGCATTTCTTGTGTGATGAACTCTCGCTACAAAGTCGGGGCGTCGTCAAACGAACACGGTGTGGCCGCTTTTGCCGGGGGCAACCACATGTGAAATATTTTGCCATGGTTGACACTCGGCACTGTTAACATCAAGAAAAACGTTTTGGGCACTCTTTTAGCGCGACTTGGTGGTTGAGAGGAGGCAATCTGAGCGGGTGTTATACGAAAGGGACGGTGCAGGTTGGTTGTTTACGACGGTAGACTTGCAGACGGTTTGAGTCACGGTGCCACTCGGCTTCGTCCTATCAATGTTTTCGCGCGATTAGACCGATGGTAGTATAGGTGGATTTTTGCACAAGAGTATCTTGATGAGCAGTTGTATCTCCTGCATCGAAAAGGGAGTTCGCTGGTGCGAATGACATGCTGTAAAACCTTCCACACTGTCACATGTCCTGTCTCCACAACTGATACTGAAAAATGCTCCATTAACTGAAATCAGACCACCCGTAGGACCGGCCATCGGCCATAGGTCCTGTGGGAAGGAGCAATGCTCCGTCCTCTCAGAGGACGCGTGGTCAATGGTCTAGCAGCTAAGGCATGCCACACATGAGCAACCCCCCCCCAAGACCAATATTATTTGTTTCTTTTTTTCGCAATCGCGCTCCGCCCGTGACGTGCTTCTCTCTCCTCGCCCTCGTCACCTGTTGCTTGTCGCCTCGCACGGCCCGTGTCGTCGTTTCCTACCGTCGGTTCTACCGCTGCTGCTACTTGCACCGCTACGGCCTCCGCTACTGCTACGGCTGCTGCTGCTGCTGCTGCTGCTGCTGCTGCTGCTGCTGTGTTTGGTACTGCTACTCTGCCGCTGCTGCTGCTGCTACTGCTGCTGCTGCGTTTGGGGCCGGTGGTACTTTGCGGTGTCTTCTGTGCGCGTTTGTATGGGCTCGATGTGCTGCTGTGTTTGCTGCTGCTACCACTGCTGCCGCTGCTGCTGCTGCTGCTGCTGCTACGGTGTCTTGTGTACGGGTGTGCATGGGCTGGGTGTGCTGCTGCTGTGTTTGGGTGCTGCTGCGCACGCGCGCGCGTCTGCAGTTCGTCCATGGTCGGCACTCTGACCACGCGGAAAACATCGGGGTCCAGGTCGAGTTCATGGGGCTGCTGGCCATGGTCGTCGACAGGGTACCCTGCAAGCCTGGGGTGAGTGATTGTTAGTGCTTGGCTTGTGGCTGAAGAAGAATGGCGGAATATTTGTTCATGGTCTCCCAGAGGGTCCTGCGGAGGTAGGGTTTGCAGGATAGCGTGCGGGGGGGAGGGGGACGGACGATGGGGAAAAGGTGGTAGAGAACGTGGTGGCTAGGCTTTACACAGCTTCTAGTAAGTCTACGTCAAACGACGAGATCGGAGAGAGTAACCCAGTACCGACTTATTCACGCTGTAACCCACCCCCAACACAACCCGGACGTAGCTCAAGTGCACAATACCCAACCTGAACAATACCCAACTCCGATTCAAAACCCACCTCAACTTTACTCCAATCACACCGACAGGCGTCCTCTCTTCGAGAATCGAACCCTAAGACAACCCCGACTGACCTCAAGCGCACAATATCCAACCTGAATTAATCGATGGCAACAGCACACCCCTCTTCGAGAGGTGAACTACTTTACCAAGAACCCCGAGAGAGCGGCCAGGATGAAGTCTTGGAGCGGCATCATCAAGGACTTCCAAGACAGTCTCACTGGCATGCCTGAGGAGGACAAGATGCGCCTGCCCGGTAAGCAGAAACGACCTTATTTTTGTTTCTCGATCCTCCCACAAAAGAGGGTTGTTGTTGCTGTTGTTGTCTACGCTGTTGGCATGTACTGTGGTTCCGGTCTCTACTCTACTCTACTGCTGGACCTTCGTTAGTCTCTCGCTAGTAGGGCGGGGTACTGAGCCGCGGGGTGCGACTCGATTATACTGCGGCAGTCTGGCGCTATTGAAATATACATGCTTCGTCGCGAGAAAGAAGTGGCGGTTCTGTAGACTATTGAATATGATACGGAATATGCCTCCACCTTGCAAGACTTAACTCACGGCTATTCAACCCCACCCATACCCCTGAATCCAAGCGTGTGCCCGGTGAGAATAACGACCTTATTCTCATTTCTCGATTTTCCTGCGAGATGGTTGATGTTGTTGTTGTTGTTGTTGTTGTTATCTTTACATGCTAATCGTTCCGGTCTCTAAGTTACTCAGTGCTGTACCTTCTGGTATCCCTACTGGCGGGAGTGGGGTGGAAACACTCAAGAGTGTCATGTTGGGTGAAGTTTGTGCCCTTCTTGCTAGTGCGAAGTGATGCTGATCTTCGCGAACGAGTCCCGTTTGTTGGGAGTGCGAGATGACAATGATCCTGGTCTTGTTTTGCCAAGTGCTGTTGAAGGAATGAGTTCCCTTGCTTCGTGGAGTGGGAAGTGATGATGAGCATGAGCCGTATTGAAGGATGTACAGCAGTATCGTACCTGTCTTATTCAGTGTACATCCCTGTTCGTCCTCTCCGTCCCTGACCAACGCCTTGGAATCTACCCTACCGCTTCTTTTGGGCTTTCTGTTCTCAACCGACTGTTATCTGGGCGTCATGGCCATTGGGCCCCCCCCCCCCACCTTGTTGCCGCGATACATCACGTCGGACTTCGCGAAACCCGTGGCGCACGACGAACAGTTCCGGTGGGAGAGCCGTTGGACAGCTCTATCTTCCAGGTGAAGGGTGTTCGTGTTTGTGGTGGTGTCTGTTGTATTGTTGACCACAGGATTGGTTGCCTTGTCGCGGAAGTCCCGGGTGGCGACGCCGTACTACGCCTCCTTTGTGCACTACTGTGAAGCTGTGTAGTTTTTTTATGTGTATCACCGCCAGGTCCTGCTACTGCTGTTGTTGTTGATTGGTTGAAAAAGCCCTCGAATTACAGAGTCAGTTTCCGGTGCACCCGTTGGCTCCAACACTTGACGCTACCGCACGTGCGGTCGGCGCCGAATATTTTCGCGATCAGTTGTGTTTCAATGTGGTGGAGAAAAGGCTTCCTTCTTTTTCTTTGTGCCTTTGTCGGCTCAGCACGCTGGTGTGTGCCTTCATTTGGGTGGACCCGCATTTCTCTTGCTACACATTTTGAGTTTGATGTCGTGCGGAGAGGAAAACAACGCAACAGAGAGAAGTGAAGCTTAGGGTTGCAGCATCAACACACCAACGAAAGCACGACAATTCGTACCACAACAAACAACGGAGTGTTGGAGAGAGAGCAACAGTACCGTTCCAATCTCAAAAGACTCTTCACAACGTTATCACAAGATGAGGGTCGAATGTCGTAAGACACCTAACGAAAACTACATGCAACGACACGCAGGTGATCAGCGCCAACTCCTTCAAGCCGATCGAGCCCGTGAGCTCGTTCGACAAGTTCCGCCTCATGCGAAGGCTGAGAAAAATCGGGGGCATCCTGATGACCCTGCACAACGTGCTCATGATGGAGGCTCCCTACGACCTCCTCGAGAAACTGTTCCGAAAGTGTTGCGTCAGGTGAGTTCTCCGAACAACAACGGCGGACTCGCGATACTTGACTGGCCGGCATGTTGGTCACCCGGTGGTGGTTAATGACGCCATCTCGTTTTTTTTTCTTTCTCACTACCGGCCGGTTTCAAGCACCCAGGTAACAAAGACGAGAGAGAAACGACCGGCACACTTCAGCCAGTCAACCGGACCAACAGGAAGTATTGTAAGAGAAATGGATTGGTAGATGCTGCGATGTGGGCCAGTGGAACCGGCCTAGATGACATTGCCCAGCTCGGTAACCGATAGCAACCAGGCGACAAGAAGGAACACCCCACAAGCCGACAAATATTACCAAGACGACGACCAGTTGTTGCGCCGGGCGCGCTTTCGGCCGACGTATTCGACCCAAGTTATACCTATTGCCCAGCTCGGCAAGCGTTGTGACAAGCAGATCTCAACTCAAGACAAAAGACCAATTCTTGCGCCGCGCGCGATTTCGGCCAATAGAATCGACCCTGCTTCGTATAGCCCAGCCAGACAAGCTCTTTGTACTTGCCCAAGACAGCGACCAATTTTTGCGCCGCATGCGATTTCGGCCGCTAGAATCGACCCATATCGCCCAGGACGGCCAGCGTTGTAACAATACAAACCGAAACACAAATAGCCCAACCAGGCAACCGTTGTGACAACCCGAATCCCCAAAACGAAACTTATCGCTGGCAGGGTCAAGTACATCATTGCCGACCAGCTTGCGGTGGAGGCGAAGCAGGAGGACGAGTCGGAGTACGAGGGTGGAGGTGGTGCTTCCTACAACGGGGGGGAAGGTGAAGACGCCGCCGCCGCCGCCGCCGGTGCTGCTGCTGGAGGAGGGGTAGCGTAGACGAAGGGATCGAGTTGATGCTGTTGCTGCTGCTGCAGGAGGGGTGGGGGAAACAGAGGGGAGAAGTTGAAGCCTACAGTAGCCCATCCCTCCTTGGAGGAGGGTGAAGGTGTTCCCTGTCCCTTGGGTGAAGATATCCTCTGGGTGAACTTGTCCCCTGACCCCTGGGTGAAGGTGTCCAAAACCCCTGGGTGAAGGTATCCCCTATCCCCTGGGTGGAGGTACTCCCTATCCCCTGGGTGAAAGGATCCCCTCTCCCCTCGCCTTGGAGGAAGGTAGGGTCAAGTGGCGGGGAACAGACGTCCGAGATTAGTTAGCTATGCGTTGAACGGTCTTTCTTTGTTTCGTTTGTGTGGTGACTGGGTTCTGTCGTTTGTTGGAATGCATTTTTTTCTCCAAAGGGCGCCGGGGGGGGGCAGGGGGGTACGAGAGACAAGGGCATCGGAACTTCATGTCGTGTTGTGAAGAGAAGTTGTTTGAAGCCGGAGTAAAGGACACATGCGCACGTTGAGCCTCTTTGATGACGGACGCTTCGGGTAGGAGCCTTTCTTGAGGGAGGGGGTAATAGTTTTGTGCGTCGTGTGTCCTTGAGTTGTGTTTCTCGGCAGTTTTGTTGTCTCTTGCTGCAGGATAGATATATTTGGAGAAGACATGATGACTACAGTAGGGCGCGCACGCACGCGCCCGAGTCTCTGCGATAGAGGGAGAAACCGACAGAGACTTTTTTTTTGAGAATTTGAGGGCGGAGGCGGTGAGTGATCTGGCCGCCTGTGGTGGAGTAATAGGTGGCATTCGGCATGCGGGGAAACTGGCTGAGCCCCCCCCCCGCCCACAAGGAAGGCTGTAAGGCCAAGCCCCGTTGGTGGCATTCCCCGTTCGGGCAGCGGGGGGG